AAAAAAAAAAAAACGTGCGTGACTGAGGCCGGAACGCTGAGTCCCTGAGTCCCTGAGGCCAGAGGCCTGGGGGTCCTTCGCTGTCAAACTTGGCAAAACTACGGGAACCCGATGACGCTGCAACAAAACCTCTGCAACAAAACCTCTATATTTGCAAAGGAAACGTCGAACGGACGACATTTATGCTGCCAAACTTGCACAATGCAATATTTTTGCTATTAGGCTACCCGAGAGTGATGGTGGTGTCTGCTCTTATCAGCACCCCCTAGCACTACCTACTTCCCCCGAATACAACGTACGGTCATTATAGCTGTATCTAGTCTGGAGTATGCCTCAAATGCAGGTACAATGACCATACGTTGTATTCGGGGGAAGAGGGTAGCTCGGGCTGTTCATCCAAGAACAAAAAAAGGGAATGGCACCGGTGCTTAGCGGTGCTTAGCACTAGCAGTCTCGCGTCGTTGTCCAGTATCAAGCCAGCGTGCAGCCAGCAGCCAGCAGCAAGTGCATGACTTCCCGTGGGTCAGCAGGTGCCGGGTCAACATACAGTATTGACTGACGTTGACCACCCTCTTCTCTCTCCGCTACCATGGCCCACCCAAATTGACTTGCAGTCAATGTCCTGGATGTCATTAAGTTGCAGATTCCCGCATCGGCTGCATTCTCGACGGATACCTGCGAACAGCCGGTGCCTCATCTAGTGTGTGTGTGTCTCACCCGGTGCCTGGGCTGTGTCCATGTTGACTTTGACTCGTGAGCCTGTGAGCTGTGCCCATGTTGATGTTTTCTTTTACGCTGGTTTTTATTTAAAATTTGGTAACGAATTTTTTTTATTTTTTTTCCTTCTTGAAAAGGGCGACAGTCTCCAGATATCATCATTGAGCTGACCGGCCCAAGACATATCACAATATGTGGTTTTACTCAGCAGCTTCCATCTTCTGGGTTCTAACACGGGTCTGTAATTCATGGTTCAATGTTGTACCCGCTAAGCTGGGATCTTGGGTGTAGGAATTTTGTATGTCACCGTGGGGAACAAGTTGTTCAGTTTCTTTTTCTGCAAAGGACGATTTAACTTACGAATCCCTGTCACCCAGATGTACGTTGTCCTTTCTGTGCCGAGGAATGTTATGAGAACAGCATGATGCCGCACGGTGACGAACGTCCTGCTGTTTTCTTGGCATTTGGGCAACATGTCCTCTGTCAGGACTGTTCTGATGGGATGTTTCATGCTGGCTGAATGCGGTGTTGGCGCAACCCCGGTCCGTGCCCGTCTGCCCCCCTCTGTTGTCAGTTAGTCATTCACGCTTAGCTATAACCGGGGTTGAGGTGAATTGTCAGTTATGGTGCAATCATAAAGACAATTTTGCAGACTGTTGGGGGTTCGCTGCACACACCCGTATCATGACATCGTCGTTTGTGCGTGTCTGTCTGGACTTTTTGCGTTGACGCTTTCGTGCTTTCTTATAGGGTGTCAATCGGTGATTCTCCATCAAGTCTGCAAGCGTCGTAGTGTTGTTCCGGTGTTGTGCGTACCGATTTAACTTTAATTGCACAATGAACAGACAGAACATAATTTTCGGAAGAGATTACGATAGGAGTACTGCAGAGTCCGCCCGTCGGGTGCACCGCAGTGTAGAAATTGCGAACGTAGGGGCCATGTTCAGCACGATAGTGAGGCAAAGAGATGCGCTACGGGATGAGGTCGAAGATCTTCAAGGAAGGATAAACGTGATGACGGAGGCTGTTGAGCAAGAAAGAGCACGTAACACGCGGTTGCGTGAGAAGTTTGGACAAGTATGCAGAGAGAATATGTGGTTACGTAAGGAAACACCTGTTGCAAGCAACGCTAAAACACACTACCATGGAGACATGTGTGCCATGAATGCGAAGGAATCTTCACAAGTTACATCTATTCGTGATGCACCGAACAATAAACCGCCAGAAGTTAAGCACTTCAAAAAAGTGTCCTTCAAGGACAGGCCGTCGTCATCGCACTCGACATTCGTTTCTACATATAGTTTGTCTTCGAACAGCAGGTTGGAGGAGGCGTTGAGCAATCTACAAATGCCCGACACCACAAACAATTCCACGGATACTTTGAAAACTGCGTCCGCATCGTCTTTACCTCGATCTTCTGCAGACGATGACAGTGATGCCAATAGCAGCAAGACAAAGTTGCTGCATCGACGAAAATGAAGAGGGCGGATTGTGCGATCTCCAGATGAGCATGGAACAAATTGGAAACGATTTCAGGCGACTGCAGTGTTGTCCCGTGTTCATCCGCTAATATATTACATCGGACAGCGAACACCTTCGATGGTAGGGTTGTACATTGCATTCCCTTGTTGTTTGGCAACGTTCCGTGGGGTGGGGACACACACACACACACACACACACACACACACACACACACACACACACACACACACACACACACACACACACAC